ATCCTACCTACACTAGTAGCTAGAGTTGCCGTGGGAATTACAACACCACAGAAGCGCGATAAAGAATTACGCGTTGGAAACTGAAAGATGTGACGCGGTTCATGAGCGAATCAAATGGCTTCCGATACAGGAAATAAAAAAACTGTATAGGCAACTTGTGCATGGAAGTACTATATTCGCTATTAACTTGTACGTGGTCTAACGCCATACCCAGTATGATGTACAATTCGTAGTACGGAAGACAATAACAAACACAAATTAATTTTATTGAGCTTGGTCGTTCTCGTCTAGTTCGCTATCAAACAAACAAGACGCCATCTCGCGTTCCCATTGCGCAACAAATGGCAGATTGACTTGACTTGAAGCTAGCGCAACTAGTACATTTGCTGGTACTGCTTGTTCCAATCTGAATCTGTGACTCGAGGACAATTGACCACATCGACAAATTGTCGATTCCGATTCAAAAAGGAGCACATGTCGATGTTGTGTTTTGCAGTATTAGTGCGATAGCTGGTAACAAGCATGCCGCTGATACCGAAGTCCCTTTCGATTTGAGCAGACGACGCTGGAATAGCGTAAATGACTCGAGCCGCGATAGATAATAGTCGATAGTTGTTTTCATCTTGTTGGCGCTTCCAAAATTGCAAGATTGATTCGGTTTTGATCGTCGTTGTAAGAAGCCTACTGGGATCGGAGAACCTCCGTTCGAGTTCTTCATCAATTCGTGCCTCGTGTACATTTAGCCGCTCTACGTGCTCGGCAGCTTCTTCAGCAAATTTTATAAGTTCCTCAGAAAAAACTTGAGGAGGATGTATAGACGGAAGCTCGATAAATGAAGATAAAGACTCGAAACCCGGTGTCAAATGCTGAGGTGTAACATGTTGCGAAGACATACGGTACGTTTCTGCCGAAGTCGAAGTGTGCGTACTACCGCTAGATATGGTTAGCAATAACGCTCGTAGCCGCTTCAATACAGCTTTCTTCACACTGGCAATATTTCGGGCAACAGCATCTTCATCCATTCGCAGGTGGGGCTGCTCCGGGTCGATAATCAACTGTTCATCGCAAAGTCGGACAATCTTAGCTAGATTGACTTATTAGTTTTTCAGTGACGGGTGTAACAGCATCTGAACCTCTGGAAAGAAAGATGGTTCGCGGATCCGTGCGTGGCCCGTGTATGAAATTTTTGTGAAACGACTTCGCAAGTAGTGCTCGCGTCGACTTTACGAGTCGCGTGAGGTCCCGGACTTAGTAAAAAAAAGAAGTGGAGGATCGGTTGGTGCCCGCATTTTGTCTTTGACAGGCGGGGTTTCATCCAGTATTGTTTTGCGCAGTCCAAAGTCTGACAATAGGACATCAACTTGATTTGTGTCCTCCTTTTGACTCATCATATTTAATGCCATGATCGGGTTGAGAAGTCCGTACAGCAGCAGTAGGTTCATCTTGTCGTCAGCAATAGGAAATGGTTCTGGCGCTGACTTTCGCTCACGAATAGCTTTATCAATACTTCCTTGGAACCAGTCTTCGAGTTGGTCCCATTTCTCTAGCAA